TGTACTGTTCATGCTTACATATACAAACCAGACTATTCAATTAGAACAAAAAGAATAAACTAACATTCTGTTTCCAACTGAAGTGTCATTTAATGTACTGAGACTTCTAACTCCTACTTGTAAATGATACTTGTAAATGATAAGGACGTGTCATACGCTTCCTTTGAAGGGTTACCTCTAGTGAAATGACTCCCAATACTATATGTATTTGTAATTCAACAGTTTCCAAGCATGTCAAAACACCATTTATACAATAGCCAATGAAAAAAACATTTCATTGTACAATTTCGCAGACTTTTGTACCACTGCCTTCTACATTGGAAAATTTCTCAGATTTCATAACCACATATGGCAAAGGAATTCGAAATAGTTAATAAAAGTATTGGTGCTACATAGCCATGACAAACAGAAAGATAAAACTTCACTGGACTTTGAGAATTTGTAAAAAGCAAGTAAAAAGCAGAATAAAACAAGTAAAAGCAGTATTAGTAAAGGAAAAATGCTTTCACTGCTGCAATGGTTCTTTGCACCTTGCCCTATTATGTCTCCCAACTTGGCCACACCTCCCACATGTGATCTTCCTGGACTTCACTCCAGTCGAAGGGATACGTTCAGTTCGTGGTCTTCCTGGTGGTCTCTTATTACAAAGTGGAGGAAGAAGAACATTGGCATCAGAACCAACAGAAACATCCTTCCATATGGTAGGAACAGGATTGATGGATTTGGAATATGTGTTATGGAAAGCATCAACAGAGTAGTAATGATCCACATAGTCATTCAAGTTTTTCCCCCCTCTCTTCAGAGCACAAAATGCATGAGCACATGGGAAACTATTTATCTGCCATTCTCCACAAGAACAACTCCGGGAAGATATATTGACACTCACAGAAGGGTCGCACCGAACCTCATACAAATCATCACTCGACCTAGAAATAGCCCACGTCTTTGACACATTGAACAACCCTTTGAATTTCTTTTCCATGATAGGACATATCACACCTTTCCATTTCATTGATGCTGATCTCCTTGCAGACATCTGTTCCATTATTTTTAGCCTAATCTTATCAAAAAGCAAAGTAATAGGCAAACTCCGTTCCTTTTTTATCCAATTATTAAAGCACTCCACTAAATTTGAACTCAATTCACCATATCTCTTTCTGGAAAATAAGCATGACACCAATGCTGATTATCTAATGTATCCAGAAAGGCAGCAACTTTTACTCCACCTTCTTTCTTGAGTTTGTTCAACAACTTTTCAAATTCTCGTACTGTTGGTGCATAAGCACACAAATTGAACAAATTCACTAGATACTTCTTCTTGCTATTGTCCAACCCTCCAAAACGTTTCTTCAAATTTTCTTTTAAATGAACCAGACAATGGGAATGTGGCGAAGAAGGAAAAATTTGTTTGACAGCTTGCAACAAACCATCATGCCGATCAGAAACAAAAACCAAAACCCTTCCATCTTCAAGGAAATCCTTCAACTGTTCCATAAACCAATACCAGTTGTCATAATTCTCCGAATCAACGACAGCAAGACAAAGCGGATACAAACCTACAATCAATCCAAAACGGATAAGAAAATTGAACTACTTGACTAACAAATCCCCAACAGAAGTCAATCAGAAAATGCATATCCTACTACTTAACAGAAGCAGTTTAACACTTAAATTTTCTGTAAATGGGGAAAAAGGAAAAATGCAGAATCTGTGTAACGCAAGAACAAAACTTGACCCCAATGAATGAGGAGGGAAAAAACTATTGTTTGTATAAAAATGATAGTGAAATGTTACCTTGGTTGCCATCTTTTGCACAAGCCGATAACAAGCATCCATTGTGTGTACTCTTCAAAAAAGTGCCATCGACAAACAGAATAGGCCGGCAAAAAGTGAAGCCATACTTGCAAGCGGCAAACCCGAGGAACATCCTCTTGAAATGCTCAGAATCATGACGCTCTAACACACACATACTATCTGGATTTGAAGCTCTAAAAGCACCAACAAACCATGACAATTCCTTAAACGACTCCATATAATCCCCATATACGTGTGCTCTAGCTTTTTTAACTGCCATCCAAGCTCGACGATAAGTGATCTCAACACCATAATGTTTCTTCATATCCTTCATAACTTCAACTGGACGTTTTGATTCATCAGATCGCATGTCTTCAGAAACCAATCTACCAACAAAACTAGAAGTACTACGAGAACTACTATATGACAATGAAGCATCCCCACAAGTGTGCTCACCAACAAACTGCTTTATAATAAAGTAACCACTAGGCATTTCTAACTTGGCCTTCACAATCCAATTACATTCCTTTGATGTATGCCTTTCCAAACAAACAGCCTTCACTGTTTGGGCATCATTTTTGGCATAAACAAATTTGAAACCATGGAACAATGAATACATAGACAACGCATCACGAAAACCAACAGCCCCGTCAAGGAAAACCTGACCAACTCCAACAATTGCATTACACCAACCAGCTGACTTCAGAACCTTACTGTTGTTAGTACCACTAAATGATGGTAGCAAATCCACTTGAGTGCCAACAGAATCTAATAACACCAACTGATCACAACCTACATCACCACTACTGCTACAAACATCAACAACAGTAGAGACCGTACTTGTATCAACCAAATCTTTGACAGCAACGTCAACACACTCAGTCCTAGATGACAAGGTTAAAGCATATAAGACACACAAGTCCTCATCAGACTCCAGCAAACACTTCGGATGGCCAGCAAATGAGTAAGAAAGGGAAAATGAGCCTTCAGACAAATCTTTCCACTTTGCAAATAACTTCGTCATCAAAGATTGAAAACTCAAAGTTCGTTCTAACAGAACGCCACAACTAACGTCACCCCGTTTGCACAACAATACCACAGCATTTTCCATAATCCCCATAGACCTAAAACAAAACAGAAGTACTTAGAAAACAGCCACCAACTCAAAACATCACCAATGAGTTTAACTAGAGTAAATATCAATCTTCAAAACTCAATAGTTGTAATTCACGTACGAAATCACAGCTTTCACCTACTGAATCAAGAGAAATCCAATAGTTCCACAAACTCATGGCATCAAACTTCAGTACTGTCACTTAATTGATCAAGTAAATCAAGTAAAACAGAGAGAGAGACGTTATATCAGCAAAAATAAATCGAGTGAATCGAGACACAAAAACAGGAGAGAATGAATGTGACACATGCTCTCAGTTGCTAAAAATTCGCAGACCTGTTATATGTATGTGAAAGCGTCTGGAAATCCGAAGGTGCATGGCTGCGAAATTGTTCGTATGATTGAAAAGAGGACAATTTCGCAGACCTATTCACAGCTATCTGGATCTTAAACAACAACTTCTACAATATACGAAGGGAAAAACATTTTGAATATATCAGTATGTCTTATTAAACAATTTCGCAGAGCTGTTGTATTCTATTCGTCATTGGTTATTTAATTTTGATGAATAAACAACGTAGATTGCTGCGAAACTTTTCATATGTGAAATAGAACATTTTCGCAGACCTTTGAAGGATAATTGTCTAGTGCAATGAAATGAGCACTGGATTGAAATCGAGTAGTTGTAATTCACGTACGAAATCACAGCTTCCACCTACTGAAACAAGAGAAATCCACTAGTTCCACCAACTCATAGCATCGAACATCATGACTTTCACTTAATCGATCAAGTAAATCGAGTAAAACAGAGAGAGAGAAGTTATATCAGCAGAAATAAATCAAGTGAATCGAGAAACAAAATCTACAAAAAATTAAAGAAATCAAGTGAATCGAATGAATCAACCAAACCTTCTGAAATCTACAAAAATAAACTAAATCACTGAATCGAATGAATCAACCAAACCTTCTGAATTGAAATCGATCTACAAAAATAAACGAAATCACTGAATCGAATGAATCAACAAACCTGCTGGATTCAGTCGATCTGAAGAATGAACGAACGGAATGAATGAATAGAATGAATGAACGAAATCCAATTAATCCACGCAAAATCCACGCAAATCTCAAGAATCTAATCAAATCTCATCACGAATGGAAACCCGCAGAGATTAGCGGTGGAAGTCGTTTATGTTTTTGAAGAGAATGAATAAGATCATACGCGCGAAAATAAAGGAAATAAGGGTAGAACGGTAACTTCAACTTCTGTTTATCCTTGCACGTAATTAAACAGCTCTTGCATCCTTAATGGGAATTAGAAGTCAAAAAACTGGACCGGCTGGTAATTTTCTGAACCACATAATAGGACTGTAAGGCCCATTGTCACATATTAGACCATTACACCTTCATATCTTTTTTCCACCATTAGTACATAACCCATTCGAATCAAAATACTCCAATACAGAGGTCAGAAATTAAAATCGTGTTGCATACCTATCGATGTTCGATCAAATAATATTTTTTTAATAATTACTCTTCTCAACAAGCTCTACAATATATGCTGTTTGGATCATGAAGATATTGGGCACGCAATTTTCTATTTTTTTTCCAAGATTCATTCAGTATTCAGGATCCTAATTTTTGAATGAAAAATTAAAAGGTTACATAAATTATTTAAAATTATCTGATTGAGCTTTTTTTTTTTTTACCAGGTCACTCAAATTAATTTTTTTTATTGAACGACTCAGATTATTTTTGTGAAAACTCAAAGTGAGCCCCACACCACCTTTTGTACGATACGCGAGAGAGGGGGAGGAGAAGAGCAAATGGTAAAGGACTGCCTAATTAAAGTTCAGTAAAGCTCGATCATCGATTCCTGTTGATGTTCCAGACTCCGAAACGCTTCCCGTCGCTACTTCTTATGAGCTCTATCCTCGTGCGTTCAGAATTCTTTCTTTTAGGAATTTCCACGTGCAAGAACTTCGACTCTCATTGACTGAGGTGCCCTCGCTAACTCCGAGACAGGCAACCGCGTATATCCCGCCATTCATTACATCGAGTGAGCCCACCAGTTGGGCCATCCAATCCTTTAACAGGCCGTATGGAATATAGCCAAGTGGTAAGGCATCGGTTTTTGGTACCGGAATGCAAAGGTTCGAATCACATTACAGCCCTTTTGGGGCGCTACAGGGACTTGGCTTCCCCCCTGCACCTGTTTCGTACAACTAAGACACACTCAACATCTAGTAAGTTACGCTGTGTCTGAAATTAAAATCGTGTTGCATACCTTGCACGGCCATGCAAAACCAAATTGATCGAACCAATTAAATCTGCCGGGACTCGGGACACCCGATGTAACCAATTAACTAAACTCTAAGTAACTAAAGAAGAAGTCCGATGTATTGTCTTCCACGATAGAAATCCTTCAATTTCTAGAAAACAAGTTCACAGCCTAAGCACACTTTGATCTCATTCCATTCAAACACTTCGCCTCCGGGGAGTTCAATTCTAACTAACATTGAACATGTTCCGAATTTCTCGATATTCAACCCGACCAACGTCTATAATTTACCCGGACCCTAACTGATATGGGGAATTTCCTCCCAAAATACAACTTAAACCTGTCACGACCCACACTATGACCAATTCCCTTAACTCTGCTTAATCAGAAAAATCACCTCATACAAGTCCCCTCACAGTCTGATACAACCAAAGAAATGCCAATGCTTTGGACCTGCTTTGGGCACACAACAGTATAACACATGTTGATCTTACAGTACTGAATACCATTTGCAAAACACATTCCACCTCTGCGGCGTTAGAAGGCCGACTAAAGTGAACTTGCATTGCGCGTCTTGATATTTGGTCTCCCTACTTAAGTTTCTTAATCACCAGATCACCTCTCTGTCAACTGACCCCGAGTAAAATAGGAGCTCGTCAGGAAAATCCAGTAGAATCTTAGGCTCCAGGTGCAAGGCAAAACATGTTTTCTTTACTGAACCCTATGCTGCAATGAGGATTTCCCTCTCCAAATACAAATGCAAGGACATATAATGCGACCAATTTAATCATCTCTAGCTAATGAAAAATCTGTCGTAGAATTCCTCCCATAATTCACCCACCAGAGATATGCTTCGATTCTGGGAAATAAGTCCACAATTTAATAACATTTTGATCTCATGGTATTTAGCTCTCAGTTGTAACACAAGCTCCACCTACCCAAATCGCCGTCTAACTCAATTTAACTAGCATTACAAAGCTACATGGTCCTCATTCCGACAATGCAGTATTACCCTCTTCCCCAAATGACGTTCAAGATCGCCCATAGTGTCGAGCATGTTCCAGACATAACAGTCCGGTTCCATTCACATAAATACGATACAATCACAGAATAACCTAGTTTTTAAATCCCTTTTTGAGTTTCACAAATAGAAAGCAACTCTAAAAATAGTTTTTCAGTAAATTATTCGATAGGATAACTTAACAATTGACAAGATCACACAAGTCTTACAAGACAAACCCTCAATTCGAACATTGGAACTCTTGGTGGAAAGACGCGACAGAATTGAATCACCACATTTCATTATTCTACACTGAGAATAAGACTCTACAATCGAATAAAACTCAATCGCCGCCCATTTCTTATGTACTTTCAATTCTAACCCATACAATCTATATCCAAACCAGGTTCGCAACGTTTGGTAACAAAATCACTCTTCTCCCACCTTTTCACGGGCATAAATACGAACAAGAACAAGATAGCAAAGTTGAAAATTTACTCATACTGGCAATCATCTGTACCTAGCACATTAGTCAAAAAGCCAACCCCTCAAATCAAAGCACTACGAACTAACTTTACAACAGAAGAAAACCACAACTCAATCTTTGGATACAGAAAAATCAACTGTGCAATTCTATACATAAAATTGAATACCAATACAAGAAAAGAATTTAATGTGTTCTTTCAATTACCATTTACACAATCTATATCCCGGTGGTGATTGCATTCTTTGGAATAAAAATCATTCTTTTCGATCAAATCCCTCAACAACTCATGAGTAAACTCGGGACTGTTTGGGTCACTCGTTGGGGACACATCAGCAGGAGAATCCAGAGTTGGGGTTTGCTTAAAACAGCAAAAATTATTACCTAAATTGCAAACAGTCGAAGGAGAAGGATTAGAAGAACCCTTCTTTTTCTTTCTGAATCGAAATCTTGGAACACGCTTCTCCTTTCCCAATTTCGATCCGAACCCACTTCGTATCTCCTCCTTATTTCGATCATCGTCCCTCCGATCTGACCCATCACCGCCGCCGACAACAATGCCGTCGGATCGATCGTTCTCAGACATAAACAGAAACTAGTGGGGAATTACGCAACACGACCAGGCCCATATGATGAAGTTGATGGTAGATGATTATGGGTTGGAAGGGACGGGGGAATTGGACTCTGCAACACAGAGAGAGAGAGAGAGAGACGTGGTGGCAGAGTTGTGGGAGTATTCTAGGAATCGGGAAAATGACAAGGCAGGTGTTCGGAACACGTGTTCCTATTTGCGTTTGTTTGTTTTTTTTTAAAAAATGATAATGCCAAAACTATTTTTGTTGGTGTCAAAATTTTAGTGCACAAAAGGCTTGCATTATGTGCAGTATACAAAAATTTTATGCACTAGCAAAAACAGTTTTGGCATTATCAAATTGATATTCACACCTTTTTTTTCAATATCCACGTTCCTTTTTTTAATTAATTTTTTAGCAAAAACATACACTTTTAATATTAAAAAATAAAAAAGGAAGTGTGAATATAAAAAAGTAGTGTAATTATCAAATCCTTTTAAAAAAGAGAGAAGAGTGCCATATCTTAACTTAAAGCGTCATCATTTAGCCCGAAGGCCTGCAACCCGCCCTAAGCCCGTTCGGCCCGAGTCCATGAAACGGACGAGCTTGGGCCTATGAATTTTTACTCAGCTCGGCCCGTGGTACCCGCCCAATAGCCCGCCCACGGGCCCACCCATTAGCCCGAAATTCCACAAAACCCTTTCTTTTTTCCCTTGGTTTAGTTTCTGCCCAAGGAAATTTAAGTCCGCCCGGCTTTTGGCCCACCAACCCATCAATTGGGCTAACCCGTGGGCTGGGCCTGGGTTTCAATTTATGGTAGGTAGCCTGGCCCGCCCGACCAGCAAAAAAAGAAAAAGCCCGCTCGGCCCGACCCTTGGGCGGGCTTGGGTAGTGACTTGGCGGGCTGGGCCGGCCCGATGATGACTCTTATCTTAACTCTTTTTCCTCTCGATTAGGGGTGTAAATTTGGCCCGGCCCGGAGAGTCGTTTAAATAATCGGGCTCAAATTAGCCCGGTCCAAGCCCATTAGGCTCTCGCAATAAATCGAAACGGGTTGGGCCCCAACATATCCGGGCTTGGGCTTGGGTTCCGACCCGGATAATTTTAGAATAATTTTACATAAGTCCGCTTGTAATGCTAGAATAATTTTCTCAATCTTTTTTTCTTAATCTATGCTTTCTTTCACAGAGCTTCACATTCTCCAGCGATTATTCCGTCAAATTACAATGCTGGAATCATTTCCTGTGGATCCGTTCGCTGAGCTTCATGTTGTCCACCAAATCTAAAATTCATTATGAAATGGTTACCTCACATGAAGCAGACAAATGCTCAAAATTTCTGTTCCAGATGTTCAATGTTTTAGCCTAAGAAATGCCCAAAACCTAATTTGCCCGATTGCATCCAGAAAGAATGAAACACATGAAAAAATAGTTCTATAGTCTCAGCCATTGCTCTCCAGAAATGAAAGTCATATCCAGAAAAGGCCTAACTTCCTCATAACTGAAAGACTTGGACCATGCCACTCTATTCTTTCTATCCGCTCCTTCGCCTCTACACTGGAACTCCCCAAATACCGCGGTCCTGCAAAAATGCAAACAAACTTGAATTGTACATTTCAACTACCAAATGGGTAACCAACATATTCTGTAGGCACATTTTCGTTCGGTCTAAAACATCGGTTTCTTTCCTTAAAATCAAGAGATGATCGATGAGATTCTTACCTCTGCCTGGACGGTTGATTCCAGTCGCTCCATCCGGATGGAGTTACTACACTGTCGATAACGCAGTAGGAGTATATTGCTCGCGAGTAGTTCCCCCAAGCTCTTCCTAAATAGACCATGCCGGTGCCGTTGATTGTACAGTTCACAAAAGAGAACCCCGTATCCTCTTCTTGTGAGTCTCTGTGGTGAGCTGCAATTGCTCCGTAGCTTTTAGCTGTTGAGTGAAGAACACATTCCTGGTTCAATACATTCAGAACACACCAGTTTTAAGGATTATCATCGAGAATCAGTCGCGAATAGTGAGGATCTTAACCTTGTTTTTCTGTTTTTATCTTGGATTTTTGGAGAGAGAAAAGAAAATATGTAATGTACTATGTCGGAACTGTTTTCGTTTTTCGCAAATTTCCTTTTCGTTTTCCAGAAACAGAAACAACGAAATGTTCAAAGCAGATCTATTCATTTTCTTTTTTCTTGTGCATAACAATGAAAAGTTCAAAATCCGATACGCATCAAGTTTTCTTTTGGCTTGGCAAAAAAAAACTTCAATCTTTGAAATATAGCGCAACGATTATAGGGACCAAGAGCATGGCAGCATCGCAACCGGAAAGTTAGCCAAACAAGTTTTATGCGAGTATTTTTTTTTTTTCAGAAAATGAAGACGGAAATTGAAAACGATACCAAAGAAGCACTTCCCTTTCGATTTCCTCAACAAATTGAAGATCTAAATACGATGATACCTGATACAGCGATCTTGAACTACCAAATATGAAATCGATGGATCCTTGAACGTAACACTGGTAGAAATAATGTGATCCATAATCATCTAAAAGAGTGTCCTGTGTCCCCAAAATCCTCACTCTATAAAACATAGCTTTATTGCCTTTTATCCTCAATGCAACAGCCTGATTCCCATAAGCTCCTGGGACAGCAACCACTGAATTCTGCAAATGACTAGAAACTTAGAATCAAAATCAAAAGTGCAAACAATTTCTATAACCCGAAACGGTATCCGGGTATGATTTGTACCTCGATGGTGATTCCAGTTGCACAGAAGAAATCAGATTCTATGGCAACAGAAGCTGATCTAGATGTCCCCAGTTCCCTTCCATGAGTTCC